GGGTTGGTCTCTGTGACTAAGAGAAGAGAGCCGAGGGATGGTATGTCACCCCCAAGATCAGGTTATAAGACAACGTGGCTTCCATCCTGGTGTCTCCCTTTCTCTGATCACTTGTTCTGGGGGGAAGCCAGCTACCATACTGTGAGCAGCCCAGTAGGGAGGCCCACATGGCAAGGAACTGAGACCTCCTGCTAACAGCCAAGTGAGTGGGCTTGGAAGCAGACCGTCCAGCCCCAGTCAAGCCTTCAGAGGAGGGCAGCCCTGGCTGACAGCTTGACAGCAGCCTTGTGGGAGACTCTGAGCCAGAACCACCCAGCTACGCCACTCCGAAATTCCCAACCATCGGAAACCGTATCAGATAATGTTTGTTGTGGTAAGTCACTAAATTCTAGGGTAATTTGTTATGCAGCAACAGCTAACTAATACAGTGAAATAAATGAATGGAGAAGCTAAATCACTTTATAATTTGTGATGGCCACAGGTACAAAGTGCCCCACAATGCAAAACTCTCCTGAGTCAAGTCAAAGGAGGGCCCCCCTCCCACTTGCATATGCACAACCCTAAAGTTCCATGGTTCCCTTTTCAGTCATTCATTCACCAGCCAAACACACTGAGCACTTCCTCTATGCCAGACTGGGGTTCACGCTTCATGACACAGAGTCCATGCTCTCACGAGAACGTGAGCTGAGTATGTGCTGGGGATGGGTAGCCGACAGATGTGCCCCCAGTAACAGTCATAGGTAACAAGCTCTGTGCCGGGGGTCCCAAAGAGGGGCGCCTGCATCCAACAGGGACTTCCTCCAAGGAAATGATCAGAGATCATCTCGAAGATCTAGGTACCAAGGTGAGCACTGCAATGTAGCTTGTCCTGAAACCAAACTCCAAATGTCCAAGAGTAAAAAGAGCTGACAGTTATCCATTGCTCACCACATGCCAGGCAGACCGCTCAGGGTCCTGTGTAGAGAGGGGGAAGGGGTTCAATGATGATGTACAAAGCCTACCATCCTCATTTTACCCTAAAAATAACTTTGGGTAGAGGGAGCCCACAACTGGCAAGGAGCAAGAGTAGGGTGTGAGCCAACCTATTCAATGGTGCCATTAAAAATCAAGTCAGGTTTCCCTGGTGGCGCAGTGGTTGAGAGTCCGCCTGCCGATGCAGGGGACACAGGTTCGTGCCCCAGTCCAGGAAGATCCCACATGCCGCGGGGAGGCTGGGCCCGTGAGCCATGGCCGCTGAGCCTGCGTGTCCAGAGCCTGTGCTCCACAATGGGAGAGGCCACAACAGTGAGAGGCCCGCATACCGCAAAAAAAAAAAAAAAAAAAAAAATCAAGTCAAAGTAATACATCAACTATACTTCAGTTAAAGAAGAATCAGTCAAAGGGAACAATTCCCTACAGGGACAAAATGTTCATCCCATATTGTAAATGAAAAATGACTCATTGTCACAACAGTATGTACAACATGATACCACTTTTTTAAGGAGAAAGAACTTCCTGCCTCAACACACACATACACACAGACACACACACAAAGACTGGAGAAGACACAAAATACTTACTGTAGTTATGTCTAGAGAATAAAATTACGATGTGCGGGATTTTTTTTTTTTCATTTTGTGTTTTTCTGTTTTTCTAAGTTTCTACTTTTGGCGTGTACAGTTTTAAAATTTTCCCCCAAAATTCCCTTCAAAAAAGTGGGAAATTTGTCAGGCAGGGATAAACCCTATTCCTTCTCCCTTAGGAGGCTGCCATGGATGGTTCCAGTGACCCGGTTCACCTGGATGAACCGGCCGGGGGTGGTGTTGAAAGGGATCTAGCGTAAACATTTTCCTCAGTCCAGGCTGACGGTTGATAGGACAAGCCCTGATTCCAAGTGGACCTGGCCCAGTGAAGGTCAGCTGAACCCAAATCTGGGCTCCAGGAGCTTCAGGATGGAGACAGTTTCTCACCAGATAGTTAGAGGTCCCAAGAGGCCAGAGTTTCCAAATAGGAAAGGCAAAAATAGTCTGAAAGAGGCTCTTGAACCATATACCCTGACTCATATAAACACCTCTGCCTTTCCCTTCTCTCCCCACCACCAAGTCTGGGCTCCAAATACCATGTGACTCTCTGTTACCACTGCTCAAGTCAGGTCTCACCCCTTCACATCTGGACCAGCCTCCTTAGTTCAGCCCACCCTTGGCAGCATCAGATCAACCCTCTCAAAACAACTCCTCAAAATTTTCCATTGCTCCTGGTGAGGAGCTTATTAAAAATGAAGTCTCCTGAATCAGATCCTCAGGAATTCTGGCTCAGCAGATCTGGAGAGGGGCTCAGAAATTTGCATTTTAACCAGGGACTCTAGCCACCCCCAGTAGGTACCCCCAAGAAATAAAAGCCTGGAGAACTGAGCTTCCACTGTTATTGACCTCTTCATCCCCTGCATCCCAAAGGCAGCCTTTGCTGAAGGCAATCACTCTGGGTAGACACAGCCCACAAATCTGTGTCCCAGTCAGAAACTGGTCAGACTATGAACCACCTCAGTAAGCTGAAATGGTAACCCTGACTTGATGAGAATGCTAAGCACAATTTGTTAGAGTGGATAAAAGTGTTTTCTTACTGGCTAAGCATCCTGTCACACTCCAGGAAAGCTTAAAATTGAAAACAGAGGTAGTAGACTAAATCAATTATTGTACTAATGTTCCCGTCCTAAGATTATTAATAATCAGTGTCTACCTGGTGCTTAAAAGTATCACATTGAAAAGAATTTGACATGTTGAGTATATAACAGAAAAGCACTGTGATTCCAGTTTAAAGTATAAAAGTTAAAATATGTAGTTAGGTAATTGATAAAGTATCTGTCAGTAATTGATATGAAACTTGTGATTCTAAGTTGAGGGGTCAGCAATGGTTGGAAACACTGGCTGCACGTTAAAATCACTGAGGTGCTATAAAAACTACTAAGGGTGCCCGCCACATCCTAATTTCTTGTCAGAGATGGAGCCTGTATTTTTTGAATCCCCCGACTGAGAACAAGTTGACAAAACAGAATTTGACTAAGTTTGTTAAAAGTATTGAAAAGTATTAAAATTTATTACATTTATAAGGTTAATTTATTAGATTTTCTAGTAACTGTTTAAGTATTCTGGGGAAATTATGCTTGTTAGGTTATATATCTGAAGTACTTAAAAAGAAAATCAAATATATTAAATGTATAAGTGGACTTAAATGTGTAAGGGAATGTAACTGAGCTGAAGATAGGGCTGAATGTTTAAAGGAATTTAGTTTGTTCAAGTTGAGTTCAAACATTAATCAAAGGGAAAGTTAAGGTCATTTTTCTAATTTTTCTAGATTTATGTATAGAATAATAATTTCTAAGTTGAAATCGATGGCCTAAAGAAAATTAGATTTTTAAAAAATTGTTGCTCCAAAATGAGAATGAACTAAAAAGGCAAAAAAATAAAACAAGTCCCACCTTAACTCCCTGTGGTCTTCCCTACCCATCTCACCTAAAATAATTCCTCCCTCCTCTGAACTCCTCATCTGGGAAGTTATCAGCAAGATATAAGTATTCTTTCCCAGAAGCTTCACAACTTCCTGCCCGAAAGGGCTACCAGGACGCTTTGCAAATAGAAAATAACCGCATGGTGGATATAGAGCATTTCACGTTTTTCCTACCAGTCCCCAAACAAGGCATTACTGTTGCTTTTACAAGTCAGAGGCAGATCCAGGTCTCGAATCCAGTCCCTGGTTTTCAATGCCACACGTACGTCAATGACTTTTATCTCTGGCTCAGGCCTCTCCTCTGAACTCCAGATCCAAATCCCAATTAGCCTCTGGACCCCTCCATTTGATGCCTAAGGGGCAGCTCAAACTTAATGTGGCCAAACAGAACTTAAGATCATCCTGTTGATTTTAAGTTGCTGAGGTCAAAACTTTGATGCCATTCTTGAGTCCTTTCCTGTAAGCCCTTACATGCATCTGTCAGCTTGTTCTGTTTGTCCCACCTCCAAAAATACATCCCAAATCTGATCACTACTCTAATCCACACCCTAATCTAAATTACCACCCTGCCTCAATTGACCCACCACAGCAACTTCCCCTCTTCAGTCTGTTCTCCAGAGCAGCCAGAAATGATGACATTAAAATGTAAATTAGATCATGTCACACCGCAGCTTAAAACCCTTCATTGGCTTCCTAGTGCAATTAGAAAAAACTAAGACTTTTTACCACGGGTTACAAGGCCAGATATGAGCTGACCTGGGCCTACTTCATAGTCCACTCTACTTTTTTCCCCCTCAAACACCCCAGGATAGAACAGCCTCAAGGCCTTTGCACCAACGTTTTCCTGTTTGAACGGCTACCATTCACTCAGGTCTAGGGTTAAGTGTCGCCCTGGGGCCCACCTTGTCTAAAATATTACCACCACCACCCCCTCCCCAATCAACCTTTCTTCAGCTCTACAAAGCATTACTTCAAATGCATTACAAGCATTCATTACTGCACCTTCCCATCTACCCATACACAGTAGAATGGGCACTCCATGAAGGCAGGGACTTGTTCACCGCTGGGTCCCCCAGCGCAAGGCCCAGAGGCACTTAGAAAACATGTGCTGGACGGCCCTAGTCCTCCAAAGTCCTTGCTATTTCTATTCCCAACAAGGAATGAGTGGATCTAGGTCTCCTGCCTTCCAAGCCAGGATTGCCAGCTGCGAAACCCAGGGATGAGGGTAACATGAAGCATAAGCAGAATCGCCACTTCCCCTGAGTCTGGGCAGAGGGATTCAGTCCCCAGGATCCGACTTGTTCCACAGGCTCCAACTCTAGCCCTGGACTTGGGGCTGACAGAGACAGGACAGGGGACAAGCCTGGGACCGGGCACCCAGGCCTCGCTCCCCTATCCACTCCGCATTCCGTTTAATAGTGTGGCCCGCCGCGGGGCTCGCGGACTTAGATGGAAGAGCCCAAGCCCTCCCGTGGGGGTAAGGACACTCGCCCTCTACGTCCCGCCAAAAAAGGTACCTGGCTCCGCGGGGCCCAACGGCTCTGAGCTCCTCCTCCTGCGCCCTCACGCCACGAACTGCTTGCTGGGATTTGTAGTCCTTCCTTGGGTATCGGTCCACCCTTCCCAGAAACCTTTGCGAATCAAAGCTGAGACCGTGCAGGAGGAAGCGGAGAAAGCGCGAGGGCTTCTGGGTGTTGTAGTTTAAAATATTCAATCAGCAAGAAATGACTGAGGAGAAAAATTCGGTAATACATTTTACCAACTATTTGGGCTGCCGTGATCTGGATTTTAGGAGATTTGAATCACGCGCAAGCCATCAGTTACTTCCATAGTTCAAAACGACGAGCGCTGAGATCCAGAAGAACTACAAATCCCATAAAGCGTTACAAGTTGAGGACCTTTGGAGAGACAGCTCGGTCGCGGTGCATGCGTGGTGGCGCTAGTTCGGCAGCGAACAAACATGGCGGGTCCGACGTTGGCTGCGAGGTTGTACTCCCTGCTGTTCCGCAGGACCTCCACCTTTGCCCTCACCATAGCCGTGGGCGCCCTGTTCTTCGAGCGCGCCTTCGATCAAGGCGCGGACGCGATCTACGAACACATCAACGAAGGGGTGAGGGCCTGGGCCGATCCTGACCTTGGGCCCCTCTGAGGGGTGACAGTGAGAGTGAGGGTGGGGCGGGATTCAGTCTACCTTTACGAGGAGGGGGGGATCCCTGGGTGTCTTCTGTCTGCAGACTGCCGTCTGTCCGCTCCGCCCGGTGTGAATCCTAAAACGTTAAACGGGGTCAATAGATCCCACTTTGCAGAGGTTTTAAGTATTGCTGTCTTCCGCCCCATACACCCACTTGTCCATTTGTAGAAGCGAAGACTAACCTAGTGAGAGCAAAGGACTTGTTAGGGCTACATCACCAGGGAGTTAGAGGCAAGTCAGGGCTGGACCCGGGACCCCCTATCTCGTCTGAAGGTTTCAAGGGCAGATTTGAGCGGGCGACGGTCGTGAAAAGAACAACTCTTTAGATACCGTGGCTGGCCTTTTCAGATAGCACTTTTCAGTTCCAAAGTCTTTCTATGCTGTCAGCGGTGGTATTAATAATGGTTAAGAGTAGGGTGGGTATGAAATCAGAGAGCCCTGGATGGGAATACTGGGCCTTATCAATTAATAACTGTGGCATTAAGGTGGGCGAGTTTCTTAACCTGTCTGAGCTTCACTTTTATCTGTGGAATAGAAATGATAATAATAGCAACTATCTCAGGGAATTATTGTGAGGATTATATGAGATGCAGGCAAGGTGCCACAGTACCTGGTAGGTGGTACTCCCAAAAAATGTCATTTGTTACATTCCTCACGAGAAAGTGGAAGCATAAGATAGAGCATAACAACACTTTTTAGACTCACTGTGTGCCAGGCACTGTGCTGGATGCCTTGCCTGCTTTCTATCGTTAAATTTTGGCTCATACTGGGGAAGGTCTTGGACAAATAAGGCCTGTGCCACCACTCACTCTGTTTTTAACTTGAAGCGGTCTGGCCCTACAGCCCAGGCAGGCTCTGTCCACTGATGTACTGCCTGTGGCCAGGTCAACTTTCTGCCCTTATGAAAGTGCTGCTACTGTTCATTTTCAAGCAGTTCCTCTGGCCGTTTCCAATGTGTGGGGAAGGCATCTCAGGATGTTGTCATAACCCACCCATCTTTGTTGCTTTTAGGAATGAGAATACAGCTAGTTCCTGACCCAATGATCATAGGTCTGAGGAAATTTTTTAAATGGCTCAATGTGAAGTATTTGGGGACCATGCCCTTAGGACCTCTTGAGTAATACCTGGGAGTTGAAAAATGAGACATTTTCCAGCCTCTGTTCCTTAATAATTGTATGCTCGGGGGTAGGTCCCTCAGTCTCTCTACCTGTTTCCTGTAAAGTGAGATCATGCCTTCCCACTTACTTCACACACTGATTGAGAGCATCAGAGCATCCTGTAAATGTTAGGAATGTACATCAAGCCTAGTACTGCTTCCAGTTTGCCCACTGCACACTGTCAGCATGTGCTACATGTTTCTCTCGGGTTTGTTTTAGAGACCAGGGCAGTGGGAGGAGTTATAAAATGTGAGAGGCAAAACTAAGTTTGTGGTTCTTGTCTTTAAAACGCAGAAGCTATGGAAACACATCAAGCACAAGTATGAGAACAAGGCGTAGCTCCTTGGAGGCCCCAATCCAGGCCAGAAGGACCAGGTCCACCCACCAGCTGTTTGCCCAGAGTCAGGGCCTCAGCTTGAAGATGAAGCTCATGTCACTCTACACGGGCCACCTTTAGCTGTTGGCATGAGATGACGTCACCTGAGAGACTCTTTAACTTCTGCTATGTTTGAAGTATGTTTAGTCAGAGTCATCAACAAATAAATGTAAATTGTCCTTGAGACCTGCTTCTGCATGGGGTGCTTTTTAACTACCTGATCTTCACTTAACAGTTATTTGACACCACTTCAAAGTCCTCTGCGAATATCTGAAGGGCAGATTCCATTATTTTGGGTTTCCCATTAACTTCCAAAGAAGAATTGTAGTTTTCAAACCATGAGCTAGAGTTGGTGATGTTATCTTCAGCTTTGGCTTCTAAACCAATAACTCCATTCTTAAGTCAGGCAGAGGATAGCTAACTGGCTTGGCCCTAGGGAAGCTCTGGATCCAGCGGGAGAACAAACCATGGCCTGAAGGTTTAGTCTCCATTCTGCCTTTAACTTGCTGAGTATCTTTGGGTAAGCTGGCGTACCTCTCTGGGCCACCGCTCATCTTCTGATGGCTGTAAGGGACGTTGGAAAACATGCAGCATGGCTGGGAGCAGCCATGGAGAGCACTGGGATGTGCAGAACAGGAGAAGAGCAGTTCTGTTTGGTAACTGGCCTGGGAAGATGAGTGACTCACCTGTCTGCCATATTTCACCTGGAGCTTGGCATGATTGGGCCAGAGCTGGATCAACCACCATCAACTAATGGGGAAGAGTCAGGTCGGGAAACACAGGGGTAGGAGAGAACCTAGGAATTGCCCAGTTTGCCCTACCTGAGGCATATCTTAATGAAGATGAAGTCAGGCCCTCGAGAAATCATGACCTGCTAAAGGTAGTACAGCTCTGGGGGCCAAATCAAGACCTGAACCAAAGTAGAGGTTCATTCTAAGACTGATTCTAAGAATGATTTCAGCATTAATAGAGGAACGCTCTGGGGGTTGAAGATTGCCACTTACTTTACACTGTTCCCAACAATTTGAGGGCAATGTGCTGGTGAAAAACAATGAAGCAGGGAGCATTCTCGAAGAGTTATTCTACATTATTCTTGAGCACCTGATGACGAGCTCAGGGCAGCAGAGTTAGAATGAGTTTAGTTGATCACTTGTCTCGGGGCACATTCAGCCCAAGCAGCAAGCGTATTCCTAAGCCATTCTACATTAAAATGCCCTTTACTGGACTTCCCTGGTGGTCCAGTGGTTAAGGCTCCGTGCTCCCACTGCAGGGGGTGCAGGTTCGATCCCTGGTCGGGGAAGATCCTGCATGCATTGAGGCCCAGCCAAAAAAACAAAAAGACGCCCCGTTATTTATCATCAGCATTTCTGGGCTGTTGAGGTTGTTTGTGTGTGTATTTCCTTTCAATAAGAGCCAAACATTAAAATAATCCCTGTTTTACTTATTTTAGGGGATTGAATATTTTCCACCCAGAACCTCAGAATGTGACCTTATTTGGAACTAGGGTCTTTGCAGATGTAATTAGTTAAATTAAGATGAGGTCGTAATAGGTTGGGGTGGGCCCTAAATCCAATGACTGGTGCCCTTTTAAGAAGGCCATGTGAAGACAGCAACAGAGATTGCAGTTGAGCTTTCATAGGCCAAGGAATGCCAGAGATTGCCAGCAACCACCAGAAGCAAGGAAAGGGACAAGGAAGGATTCTTCCCTAAAAACCAGAGGGGGAATTCCCTGGCAGTCCAGTGGTTATGACTCTGCGCTTCCACTGCAGGGGGCATGGATTCGATCCCTGGGTGGGAGAACTAAGATCCCGTATGCTGCATGGCGCAGCCAAAAGAAATGATATGGAAAATTGGCACAGATGCACTACCGGAAAGAGTGTGTGAAGTGGTACCATTTCCTGGAGGATATTTTGTACATATGTATTAAGATCCTTAATATACATACCCTTGATCCAATAAATTCCACTGCTAGCAACTTTTCCTAAAAAAAAATTAAATAAATGAAGGTCCACAAGAGATGTTCATCATGTTGTTTATAATGGGCGGGGGTGGGGGGGGGATGAAATATCCAAAATAGGAATTACTATTGAGGTGAAATATGCAGTCATTTAAAACCAAGTTTTAACTGGGAGACAGTATCTAACAAACATGGCATATCCAACCTCACTAATATGAAGCAGTCTTCCAAATCCATAAGACTAAGTAGAAGCTGGGTGAATGACAGGAATAGGCAATTAAGGAATAGAAATGGGGGCTTCCCTGGTGGCGCAGTGGTTGAGAGTCCGCCTGCCGATGCAGGGGAAGCGGGTTCGTGTCCCGCTCTGGGAAGATCCCACATGCCGTGGAGTGGCTGGGCCCGTGAGCCGTGGCCGCTGAGGCTGCGCGTCCGGAGCCTGTGCTCCGCAACGGGAGAGACCACAGCAGTGAGAGGCCCGTGTACCGCAAAAAATAAATAAATAAATAAAGGAATACAAATGGCCACAAACATGAAAAGAAACATGAAAACTAGTGGCCCAGTTTCACTAATAAAGAAACAAAATGAAATACCATTTTTGTGCATCAAATGAACAAAGATGGAAAAGATTAGCAGCACCAGTATTTTAGTGAAGAAGCAGGCACTGCCCACAGGCATTGGGACAGTGATTTTGGAGGGTACTTTGTCGACATCTATTTTATTTAAATGTTTGTTCCTTTTGACCTTGATCTTCCACATCTAGAAAAATATCTCCAGAATCCCATGTGCACGTGAACCCATACAAAAAGTCATTGGAGCATTGTTTGGAATTAAAAAAGAAGAAAAATGCCTTTCAATAGGGGAGTGGTTAAATACAAGGTAGATTCATACCACAGAAATCTATGCAGACAATAAAAAAAAAGACTGAGGTGACTCAGCGTGTAGTTGAAAAGA